AAAACAAACAAAAAGCATACTTTAAACTCTTGATATTATTTCCTGAAAGTCAAAATAACAGTCTTTCTTTTTTTTTTTTTTTTTTCGAGATGGAGTTTCGCTCTTGTTACCCAGGCTGGAGTGCAATGGCGCGATCTCGGCTCACCGCAACCTCCACCTCCTGGGTTCAGGCAATTCTCCTGCCTCAGTCTCCTGAGTAGCTGGGATTACAGGCACGCGCCACCATGCCCAGCCGATTTTTTGTATTTTTAGTAGAGACGGGGTTTCACCTTGTTGACCAGGATGGTCTCGATCTCTTGACCTCGTGATCCACCCGCCTCGGCCTCCCAAAGTGCTGGGATTACAGGCTTGAGCCACCGCACCCGGCAAAATAACAGTCTTTCAACTCTACTCTATTATCTCAAAAGTTATAAATCTTAGCATCTCCAGAATGTCATTTTCTCTCTTTAACTGGAATGATGAAAACTTGAAGATGTGTATGACCATGAGAACACCATAACCTATGAATGACCTGTTAAGAACAAAAACCAAAAATAATGAAAATTAAGACCCTGAGTTTTGGTCACACACTGACCTATGTGAAAACTTAATCAAAAGGGGAAAATTTTTCTTCTTCTTTGAGACAGAGTCTTACTCTGTCGCCCAGACTGAAGTGCGGTGGTGCAGTCTTGGCCCACTGAAACCTTTGCCTCATGGGTTCAAGCAATTGTTCCGCCTCAGCCTCGTGGGCAGCTGAGATTACAGGCACAAACCACCACACCCAGCTAATTTTAAAATTTTTAATAGAGACAGGGTTTCACCATGTTGTTCAGGCTGATCTCCAACTCCCGACCTTGTGATCCTCCCTCCTCAGCCTCCCAAAGTGCTGGGATTACAGGCGTTAACCACCATGCCCAGCAAAAGAAGGAAATTTTTTAAACAAAATTATTGGAGGCCAACACTCTGGACTGAGCTTGTTCAGTAGGCCCAAACACACCAAACCAAACCAAACCAAATGGAGTCATTCATGCTAAATGTGATATAGTCAAACTCAAAATTTAAAGAAATACATGGATTTTAAAACTGGCCAGGTCTTGTTTTCCTTTTGTGAACAGGAGATTTCGATACAAGGAGGTCTCCTCTACTCTAATTCTTTTAAAAAATAATAATCTGAAGTCCTTGTTTTTGTTGTAACAGAGCAAGCTCGGAATCACCACTGAGACAAAGACTAGGCCAAATTACAGGGTCTTTATTGCCACCGGCCTCAGAAGACTCCAGTCTCTCTAACCCGTGGCCCTGAAAGGAGGGTGTCAAGACCTTTTATGTCCGTAAACCACCTCCTGGGTGGGGGTGAGGGTGAGGGGCCTCGGACATTCTAAGGGCCAGGGGGTTTTGCACATTCCGATTGTTACTTAAGTGGTTCTCAGAAGTCAAGATTAGCATTAGTTTACATATTGTCTGGGTAGGGTGGAAATTACGGACCTTAGTTATTACAAGTCTTAAAATGGCACAGGGGCCAAAATGGCATTGGTTTGGACTGCTTGCCTGTCACATTAGGGTTACAGAGAGCAGTTTTGGTGGAAAGCCGATGTATGGTCGAGGTATGCAGTTTATAAGGCAATGACCATGTCATATTTTTACTTTATAAAACCCACAGTTCTGCTATTTAACAGTGGATTATGAGACTAAATAAGTACATTAGTGATGGTGACAAAGTAATATGATTGTCTAAAGTTTGTTTTATTTCTCAAAATTGAGAAGATAGTTACAAGGGAGATATTAATAAATTAATTATAGCCTCAGGCTGATCCTTTTTATGTTTAATTTTGTTCAATGGTTTTTTCTGTACATGGTAAACTAAAACCCAACCTGATATATAAGTAGATTGTAACTTATTCTTGTACCAACCACTATGTTTTTGCCAATAAAAGACCATCAACTGTTCAAACCATATTAAAATAAGCCAAATCTTTTTTTTTTTTTTTTTAAGTTGGGGTTTCACCATATTGGTCAGGCTGGTCTCGAACTCCTGACCTCAGGTGATCCGCCCACCTCAGCCTCCCAAAGTGCTGGGATTATAGGCGTGAGCCTCCGCGCCCGGCTTAAAATAAGCCAAATCTTAAACTATAATGAATCTGGCTGTTTCTGTACCTCACTACTATTTTCTGTAAGTCATTTTGCTTTTTCTGTGCATAATTCTTTTTTTCTTTTTTAAGACAGAGGGTGGTATGGCTCTTGTTGCCCAGGCTGGAACACTTCAATGGTGTGATCTTGGCTTGCTGCAACCTCCGTCTCCTGGGTTCAAGCAATTCTCCTGCCTCTGCCTCCTGAGTAACTAGGATTACATGTGTGTGCCACTACACCCAGCTAATTTTTGTATTTTTAGTAGAGAAGGGGTTTTACTATGTGGGCCAGGCCCCACTTGGCCTACTCAAGTTCTGGGATTACAGGTGTGAGCCACCACCGAGGCCTCCTTCTGTTTTTCTTTCAGAGTGCTCCCATATTTTTGAAAAAGCCTATTTTAGCCAGCTGGAGGATAAGATACTATGCAGAGGAGAAGCAAAGTGCCCCTGTTGACAGCCCCAAAAGCAGAAGTTCACCTCTGGAAGCACAGCTGCTTTTCTAGTTAATGAGCAGCTCATGATACATGGCTGAAGGACCTCAGCTAAGACCAAAAAAAATGGCCCCACTGAGCCCAGCCTACATGGTTGAGCATTTCAGTTATGAGCTAATCTGTTCTGGATAGTTTGTTATGCTGCCATAGCTAATACATGCACCCAGTGCCAATAGAATGCCAAGATTATTATTATTATTATTATTTTTTTTTTGAGACAGAGGAGTTTCGCTCTTGTTACCCAGGCTGGAGTGCAATGGCACGATCTCGGCTCACCGCAACCTCCGCCTCCCGGGTTCAGGCAATTCTCCTGCCTCAGCCTCCTGAGTCGCTGGGATTACAGGCACGCACCACCATGCCCAGCTAATTTTTTGTATTTTTTTTTGTAGAGACGGGGTTTCACCGTGTTGACCAGGATGGTCTCGATCTCTTGACCTCATGATCCACCCGCCTCGGCCTCCCACAGAATGCCAAGATTTAACGACAGGTTGATTACTAGTAACCTTATAACCTTGGGCACCATAAAAATACTGATTTTTTTTTCCGATATACAGTTAGATGTCTGGTAAGATAATGCTGAGAAATGCAGAAATACATGTGGACGTGTGGACACGTATGCATGTGATCAGGGCTTACATTCACTCAATTTCCCACAGCACAGGAGAAAACAGATAACCACAGCCTGAGTATTAAGATCAATGGCAAATAGCAAAAGCAGTTTGCCTGTAATCTATTTTCTTTCTATGTAAACATTACAGGTCAGGACTGTGAACAGATCTGAAGACATAGACTTTTCTTCCCCTGTGGTCCCATCATCATTTGTTCACTGTCTGATCTCTGAGAGAAAGGTGGGCCACAGGTGGTGAGCAGTGGTTCGTTTGTTTTTAAATGAAGTCTCGCTCTGTCATCATGTGCTGGCCTACAGCCAGAACCTGAGCAATGCCATTTTATAAAATACAAAACTGTTTTTAAAAAAATAAGTTGCAATGGCTGCCCCATTCTCCTCACAATAACTGCTGGCCTCGGCTTCTGTAAATAGAACTGCTAGTTTGTTCTGCAAACTATGTAAAGCTGCTTGCCTTTTCTTATCAGTAACTGCCAGAATTGCTAGCCTTTGCTTACCGGTAATAACTAAAATAAGCAGCCCAAGCTAATTCCATCCTGGCTCCTGTGACTTGTAATAAGTAACTAAGATCTGTGACTTCTATCACTACCCAGACAATGTGTAAACTAACTTCTGTAAGCCACTTAGGTAACAATCGAAGTGACAACATGTCCTCTAGCCCTCGGAATGTCCGAAACCTTTTCATCCGCATCCCCGCTCCGCACCTGCACTCCCAAGGTGGTTTTTCGGGTATAAAAAGTCTTGGCACCCTCCTTTCGACGCCACAGGTTGGAGAGACGTGAGTCCTCTGTGGTCGCCGGCATAATAAAGACCCTGTAATCTGGCATACTTTTGTCTTGGTGTTAATTTTCTATGCTCGGTCCAGCATAACAATCAGAGTCCCCATTCTTTCACATGTGAAAAAGTTCACATGGGAGCCACACATGTGAATTTTGAATTTTCTAGTAGCCAAACTCTAAACGATAAAAGAAACAAGTAGAATTGATTGTAACAACTTAATTACCCCAATATATTCAAAATCTTGTCATTTTAATATGTAACACGTAATTATTAATGGTGTATATATACATTTTTAAATAAAAACCCTAAGAGTAACTCTGTATTCTATCTTTCTAGCACATTGTAGTTCAGACCAGCTGCATTCCAGGCACTCAGGAGACACACATGGCCAACAGCTGCTACATTGAAGTGCAGCTCTGACGTGAAGCGGGTGGAGGGCCTGAACAGCCTGTTGCCCACCTTTCTTTCAGAGATCAGACAGTGAAGAAATGATGTTGGGACCTCAGGAGAAGAAAATTCTATGTTTTCAGATCTGTTCAGAGATCTGTAATCCCAGCTACTCAAGAGGTTGAGGCAGAAGAATCGTTTGAAACGTGGCTCACATTTTATTTCAGAGGATTGCGCGCTCAAAGGAACAGAAACCAGAAAGGTCGTAAAATCTAAAATGTTAGAATAATTGTTGTTGTACTTTGTTCATTGATAAATAGCTATATAATATATTATTTTTTAATGTATATAACATGATACACAATGTTAAGGGCAAATATCCTCTGGGGTGAGCCTGGCTCAGCTCAGGGAGGAAGCCCTGTCTGAAAAGACTGCAGCCTAGGCTGTCACTCTTTCTTCATTCAGCCCAGCCAGCATCTGAGCACATCTTCTGTCACTCAGGGTCTAAAAAGACGGTGACTTCAGTGTTATCCAATCAGGAGCGCTTGGCTGGGAACCGTCCAATCAGGCACGCAGCTGGAGCAGAAAAGGCGGCTTCCAGGAAGTGGCGGGTCCTTTGTCTGTCGCTGCAGCCGGAGTTCCAGGTCTTGTCCTCACTTCTCTGTGTCTTCTGCTCCTAGAGGCCCAGCCTTGGCGGCCCTGTGACCTGCAGGTATTGGGAGATCCACAGCGAAGACGCCGGGACCCCCTGCAAGCCTAGAAATGGTGAGAGTGCCTTGTCGACATCCCGAGAGGGGGAGGGGCTGATTGAAACCGGTGGGAAGCGGCTGTGGTGGGACACAGGCCTCCCCGCAGTCAGCCCCACAATCTGCACCCGGAGTTCTTCTTGCCCAGCTCGGCCTCAGTCCCCTTAGCCCGTAAGATGGCGGCGGTGCAGAAAGCCGGGCCCGGGGCTCATGTCTCATCCCTGCACAGTGACCGTGCCCTGGTCTGGAGCCCCCTCTGGGCAGCTCTGCACCGCAGTGCCCCGTCTCTCTCAGATTGTGCAGATACCTCGGGAAGGTGGTCAGGGGAGAATCCTGACTGGAGGTGTGGATTAATGAATGGGAAGAGCTTCGGTCTTTGGGGTTCCCAGTTCCTCTTTGCCTGTGGGGTTTCCAGTTCTTTTTTTTTTTTTTTTTTTTCTATTAAAAACATATGGGGGGGGTAATCGCGGTGGCTCACGCCTGTAATCCCAGCACTTTGAGAGGCCGAGGTGGGTGGTTCATCTGAAGTCAGGTGTTTGAGACCATCCTGGCCAACATGGTGAAACCCATCTCTATTAAAAAAAATACAAAAATTAGCCGAACGTGTGCCGCGCGCCTGCTCAAGAGGCTGAGGCAGGAAAATCGCTTGGACCAGGAAGGCGGAGGTTGCAGTGAGCCGAGATCGCGCCACTGCTCTCCAGCGTGGGCAACAAAAGTGAAACTGTCTTTAAAAAAAAAAAAAAAAAAGAATGAAGTCACCGAATAATATGAAAGCACTTAATCATAAAGTGGTTCAAGTATTGTAGAGCACTCAGCTATGGTTTGTAGTTTGTGGTCTGTTGAAGGAGCTTGAATAATAGACTTTTATAAAGTGCATGAAGAAAATCAAATTTAGTAATTGGTTAGGCACAGTTACCTAGTCTCTTGATTTATACGATCATGTTGGCAATTTTCTCCTTATATAATCGAAGTTTAATTGGCAGTTGGTTAAGTTGTTTAAGCCCAAATTTTGTTTTCTCTGATGTAGTATAATTTCCAAAAAAAAAGCATTTTATATTTTTTTCAAAAGGAGGACTGCAGGGACTCAAGCCACCTCAGTCTAATTAATTGCCTGCCACTGAATTATTTTCACAGCCCACAGGGACTTCTTTGTCCCTGCATTTTTCATGTGTCCCAAGCAGGGTCTCAAGTCTACCCCTTACTCCCTGTTCTTCCAGCTTAACTCTGTTTTGCAATAAAATACTAAATTTCCAGTGGCTTTGACATTCCCAAATGCCAGCTTTCCCTCTGTAATGCACATTATCAACTATTTATTTTATCGTCCATTTGATTATATTTCAATTAATAATGTTTTGATAAAGCATTTGATGGCACTATTTTAAAAACTGTCTTCTGTTAGTGAATATATCCCATGAGAATAAAGCAAATAATAATCCTTGACACTGTATTGTAAAAAAAATCTCTGCCTCTTTTGCTTTTATCTTCCCTAGGCATAGAGTTCTTATAAGAATATTGTTGGGTCGGCCGGGCGTGGTGGCTCATGCCTGTAATCCAAGCACTTTGGAGGCCAAGGCGGGCGGATCACCTGAGGTCGGGAGTTCAAGACCAGCCTGACCAGCATAATGAAACCCCGTCTTGAAAAAATAAAAAAAATAAAAATAAAAGAATATTGTTGGGTCAAGGTTTCCATTTGGTAACTTTATGGAGTGATGGGTCATCAGCCACTCTTCAGTTTTTTTCTGGTCCTGGGTTTCAGTACTGTCTGGGGAAAAACCAAGATGCCCGTCATGGTGGCTGTGTTGGCTAGAGTGTCTCATGAATATCAGCTCCTGACTCATTTTCTCTCATATGACAGCCTGAGGTATGACGTGTATCCTCAAGGAAGCAGGTAGATACCCTGGGATTGAGCACAATCTCCTGGTGTACTTTTTCTTTGAAAAGGTAGCTCCTTGAGACTTTAAGATTGACTTCACCTAACCCAGCTTCTATTCCTTAGAGAGATACATTGCTGGTCAGTTGATCAGATGCTGATATTGAAAGAAAAACACAGAAATAATTTTTGCCCCCTGGATTCTCTAAGATTTGTGAAAGAAAAAATAGTATCCCACAAGGCAGAAAAAAACAAAGTCACCCCAGTGAGATGGTGCAAGAACTTGCAAAGTAAAATGAACTTGGGGCAGTTACTGGGGCATAATTGCAGTGTCTGTTGAGAGGTTGGTCATTGAGAAGTTTAATGCGCAGGATGAGTGGGGGGAGAATCTTTCAAGGGATTGAATGGCCTGACTTGACATATAGGTCAGACACATCTGTTTCCTTTTTTTTTTTTTTTTTTT